GGGGGAGCCATGTTAAAAATCTGGGAAGAATGTTCTCGGGTGAGGAAACAGCAAGTGCAAAGGCCCTGAGGCAGGACTATCCCTGGTGTGTTTGAGGAGCAGCAAGGAGGTCAGTGTGCCTGGGACAGAATGAGTGAGCGGGAGGGAGAAGAAGGCAGGGAGGGGACGGGAAGAGGGTGCAGGGCCTTGTGGGGCACAGGAAGACTTGGGGTTTTGCTCTGAGTGAGCTGGGGGCCATGAGGGGTTCTAGGAAAGGGAGAGACATGGCTTGACTCTGGCAGCTGTGGGATAAACAGACCAGAGGTTGATGACGGACAACTGGAGGCCTGGGGGGCAGCTGCTGTAAGGAAATCCAGATGGTGTCTTGAGCTGGGATCATGTTGGAGGATGATGACTGTGAGGGATATGGAGAAATTCAGGGTCTAAACAGAAGGGCTGACAGGCCTGGCTGATAGGTTGGATCTGCTGTGAAAAAAGAGAGACAGGGATGATTCTGGGGTTTTGGTCTGAGGACGTGGGAGATGGGGTGTCTGCTACTAGACTGAGTTAGTGAGACTTACCTCTCACCCCACCTCACTTCTTCCCACCCATTCTCCCTCTGCTTCTGCTCCAGCCTCCCAGAAGTACCTTTAATACACCAGGAACCGTCTAGCCTCAGGGCCTTTGCATTTGCTGTTCCCCCTGGCAGGGATGCTCTTCATCCTCAGACATCCTCATGCCTTCCTCCCTCACCTTCTTCAGGTGTTTGTTCAAATGTCACCTCCTCCAGGACGTCTTTCCTTCTTTCAAATTGCGGGGGCCAAGTCCCCACATCTCTCCGCTGTTTTACTGCTATCTCAGCACCGTCTAATACACTCTATTAACCCCTATAGTTTATTTACTTTTATTTTGCCTATCAGGGCAGGAATTTTTGTGTTTTGTTCCCTACTGTATTCCCTAGAACTGAGGCTGGCACCCAGCAAGCACTCAGTGAACGTTTGTTTAATGAATGCAGGACATGCTGTCCCGCAGGGCGCCTGGAACTCAATAATGGATAGGCCAGGGTGGGATCCCATTTGGGCACTTCCAGATTGGGGGGCGGAGGGGCTCGGGGCGGGGGAGCCGAGCCTGTGTCGACCTGGAGCAACGCAGGTTCGGCCCAGCTTGAGAGCTGGGGGCCCAGGCTAGCCTCCCGGAGCTCCCCTCCTTCCCGTTCGTCCTCCGCCTGCAGGTCGGCCATGTGGGCGCCTCCGCTGCGCACGCTGCAGCTGCTGCTCCTGCTGGGTGCCACGTGGGCGCGGGCGGGCGCCCCTCGCTGCACCTACACCTTCGTGCTGCCCCAGCAGAAGTTCACGGGCGCCGTGTGCTGGAGCGGGCCGTCTGCCGCGCGCCCGGCCGCGGAGGCCCTGAACGCCAGCGAGGTGGCGGCGCTGCGCATGCGCGTGGGCCGCCACGAGGAGCTGCTGCGCGAACTTCAGCGGCTGGCGGCGGCCGACGGCGCCGTGGCGGGAGAGGTGCGCGCGCTGCGCAAAGAGAGCCGCGGCCTGAGCGCGCGCCTGGGGCAGTTGCGCGCGCAGCTGCAGCACGAGGCGGGGCCGGGGGCGGGGCCAGGCCCGGGGGCGGAGCCCGCTGCGCTGCTGGCGCTGCTTGGGGAGCGCGTGCTCAACGTGTCAGCGGAGGCGCAGCGAGCCGCCTCCCGCTTCCACCAGCTGGATGTCAAGTTCCGGGAGCTGGCGCAGCTGGTCACCCAGCAGAGTGGCCTCATCGCCCGCCTGGAGCGCCTGTGCCCGGGGGGCACGGGCGGGCAGCAGCAGGTAACCTCTAAGCTCGCCGGGAATCGTAGTCACTTCCTGTGTGCAGCATTTGTAAGACGGGGCTCCTGCGACCCCACGCGCGATCTCTGATCCGCAGTTTTGAAATCCGAAAAGCTCCAAAACCCAGATTCCTACCTCTCCTCCCACAGCTCTTTGGGTCAGAACGCGACTGGTGGCTACCTAAAATCTTTACTTATCCACTTAATATAAATATTCGCAGAGCCTGTAATCAAGCATATTATTATGTAGAGACCAAAGACCCATGTTATGGGGGTGTTATGCGATATAAATATCTGCCCTGTGTTACTCTTTTTTTTTTTTTTTAAAGATTTTATTTATTTGAGAGAGAGAGAGAATGAGAGATAGAAAACACGAGAGGGAAGAGGGTCAGAGGGAGAAGCAGACTCCCTGCTGAGCAGGAAGCCCGATGTGGGACTCGATCCCGGGACTCCAGGATCATGACCTGAGCCGAAGGCAGTCGCTTAACCAACTGAGCCACCCAGGCGCCCTCTTTTTTTTTTTTTTTAAAGATTTAATTTATTTGACAGAGAGCACAAGCAGGGGGAATGGCAAGCAGAGGCAGAGGGAGAAGCAGGCTCCCCGCAGAGCGGGGGGAGCCCGATGTGGGACTCGATCCCAGGACCCCGGGATCATGACCTGAGCCGAAGGCAGTCGCTTAACCGACTGAGCCACCCAGGCGCCCTGTGTTACTCTTTCTAACTGCTGCCATATTATCCTTAATTCTGGAACATGGCTGGCCCTAATTTTGAATAAGATTGTTGCTCTGTGACAACCCACACCTTACAGGGCTGTTGGGAAGATTCTAATACTCATTGTTGGAGGCACTCTCATTATCCCTACTTTACAGAAAAGAAGCGTCAGAGGCACAGATCAGTTCAGCTGTGAACACTGGAGTGGGAATTTAGGCCCAGTTCCTCTCTCGGCAGCTAGAGTTAGGCTTTGGGGAGTATCAGTTATAGGGCTGGGACATGCCCCTGCCTGATCTCCCACCCATCTGGGTGTCAGGAAGAGTTAGGGGCCCAGTGTCTTTTCAGCTGAAGGCTAGCACAATCACATCTGAGTCTCTTGGTCACCCCAGATCCTGCCACCACCCCTGGTGCCTGTGGTTCCTGTCAGTCTGGTGGGTGGCATTAATGACACCAGCAGGAGGCTAGACCCAGCTCCAGAGCCCCAGAGGGACCAGACCCTGAGACAGCAGGGGCCTTTGGCCTCCCCCATGCCTGCAGGGCACCCTGCTGTCCCCACCAAGCCAACAGGTAGGATGACGGCAGGGCTGTTGAGGGTGTGAGGCGCTAGGGGCTTCCCAGTGCGTGTGGACAGAGGGAAATAGGAGCCAGGATTTTAATGGCAGATTTCTCTCATGGTAAGGAGACCAGGGGAAATGATGCTTTTATCCTGGTGATGGAACAAGGAGCTATGGCTCTCATTCTGATAAAGACCAGAATTCTTACTGGGGTATGAAAATGGGAAAGGAAGCACTTTTCCTTTGAGGAGGGGACAGGGAGTTTAGGACTGCTTATTGGTGAGCATTTAAGCTAGTTCAGAGTATCATGTTCAGGATTTCTGTTCTGGTGAGATTGTAGAGCCAGGATTTAAGTACCCAGGCTCCATGTTTGCTGTAGTGAGAAAAGAATGAACTAGAATCTTAACTCAGGGAAGGAAATGGATATTGGGGCTCTTATTTTTGGCCAGGGAATGGGAGAGGGAGGACTGCTATTCTGGTGAGGGGATGAGATGAGAATCAGGACTCTTCTGAGTAAGGGGTTGGTTGGTCCAGGCTGTGCTTTCCCCCTATCTCTGTACCCACAGGTCCATGGCAGGATTGTGCAGAGGCCCACCAGGCGGGCCATAGGCAGAGCGGCGTGTATGAGCTGCGACTGGGCCGGCACGTAGGGTCAGTGTGGTGTGAGCAACAGCTGGAGGGTGGAGGCTGGACTGTGATCCAAAGGCGGCAAGATGGCTCTGTCAACTTCTTCACCACCTGGCAGCACTACAAGGTGGGCGTGGATGGGTGGGGCAAGGCTGGGCAGAGGGTGGGGGGCCTGCTTCTGACCTTCTGACTTCCCTGTCCTGCCAGGTGGGCTTCGGGCAGCCTGATGGGGAATACTGGCTGGGCCTGGAACCTGTGCATCAGCTGACCAGCCGTGGGGACCACGAGTTACTGGTGCTTCTGGAGGACTGGGGAGGGCGTGGGGCACGTGCCCGTTATGATGGTTTCTCCTTGGAGCCTGAGAGCGACCACTATCGCCTTCGGCTTGGCCAGTACCATGGAGATGCTGGAGACTCTCTTTCCTGGCACAATGACAAGCCTTTCAGCACCGTGGATAGGGACCGAGACTCGTATTCTGGTAAGGAGAGCTTTTATTCTGGTGGGGAGTGGGGACAGGGGAGGTGGGACTCCTAGGGACGGAAGGAAAAGAATGAAAAGGAGTGGGGTGAAACGTCCCTCTGGTAAGGATCAGGGTAAGCGAGAGAAGAGAGGAGAGGACTTTTATTCTGGTGAGGGGATGGAGAGCCTAGATTCCTTCTTTGATGAGGCAAATTCCTTCCTAATAAGAGTCAAGATTTCTGGGGCGCCTGGGTGGCTCAGTTGGTTAAGCGACTGCCTTTGGCTCAGGTCATGATCCTGGAGTCCCGGGATTGAGTCCCGCATCGAGTCCCGCATCGGGCTCCCTGCTCTGCAGGGAGTCTGCTTTTCCCTCTGACCCCCCCCCATGTGCTTTCTCTCTCTCAAATAAATAAATCTTTACAAAAAAAAAAAAAGTCAAGATTCCTGTTCTGGTAAAAGGCAGCGTGTGAGAACTAGGAGTCTTATTTTTTTTTTTTTTTTTAAGATTTTATTTATTTTTTGACAGAGACACAGCGAGAGAGGGCACAAGCAGGGGGAGTGGGAGAGGGAGAAGCAGGCCTCCCGTGGAGCAGGGAGCCCGATGTGGGGCTCGATCCCAGGACCTGGGATCATGACCTGAGCCGAAGGCAGACGCTTAACGACTAAGCCACCCAGGTGCCCCTAGGAGTCGTCTTATTCTAGAAAGGAAGTAGGTAGCATTCCCCTCCCTCCCAATAAAGGTAGATCTCCTGGTTTTCAGAAAGCGTGGGAAAGATGTGACTTGTACTTTGGTAGGATGATAGGGAAGGAATTAAAGCTATTACTCTAAAAAAGAAAATGGGGCCAGGGTTCTTACTCTGGAGAGAGGGAGGATCGAGGTTATATTCAGTAAGAGTGAGAAGGGCCAGGGGATGCCTGACAAAAGCCTTGCACTAGTGAGGTAGTGGTAGAGGCTTTTATTTTGGTGACAGGATATGGGTTTTCTCTCCCCTCAGGTAACTGTGCCTTGTACCAGCGGGGAGGCTGGTGGTACCACGCCTGTGCCCACTCGAACCTCAACGGCGTGTGGCACCGCGGTGGCCATTACCGCAGCCGCTACCAAGATGGTGTCTACTGGGCTGAGTTTCGTGGCGGGGCTTACTCTCTCAAGAAGGCCGCCATGCTGATCCGGCCCCTGAGGCTGTGACCATCCGTCTATCTGTCCCTCAGGTCCCAGGGGACATTTGTCAGCAGGAGCCCAAGTTGTCCTGGCCACACTTGCTTTGTGACTTAGCGGGGGCCACATCCCACGTTGTGGATCTGCTCCCCTGAAAACGGGACCCAAGAATCCCCCCTGCTGGTATCTTAGACCCAAATGGCTCCAGAAGGGCGTTTAGATCGCAGTTTGAGCTCATATTTTATAACAACACAGAATCTCCACAGAGCGTGTCTGGTTTGCCTCTGCCCCTGTCAGGGGTCACTCCCTGTGCCCACCCCCCTCCTCCTCCTCTTCCTCCTTTAGGTCCTCCAGGATGAGGTTGTCCAGGTCTTCCAGGAGGCCCCCCTGGCTCAGGCAGGTGGCCACAGTGGAGCCACTGCTGATGTGGGGGTTGCTGGGGTGCAGGACTTGGGGCAGGTGGTTCTGCTTTCGGCTCTTGGGGTGTGCGCAGGACGTCCCAGGCATGTGGGGCTCTGGGGAGGGAGAGGTTCTGAGGCCACGGAGCTGGAGGCCACCTAAGACTCTGGGGGCAAAGGGGCTGCAGCCACGGGGTGTTCTGGAGAAGGGAGGGGCCTGGGCCAGAGCTACAGGAAACTCAGAGATGAAAAGTCACAGGTGTTGAAGCCATGACAGACCCAGGGACATGGGCATCGCCTGAGACTACAGGACGTAAAACAGGAACCGAGAAGAGACCACGGGGCAGAGGCCGAGGCCATGGAACATTGGGGTGAAACCACCGAGCCTCAGGGGCAAGACCACAGAATATGGCTGATGGATATTAGGTGGGTATTAGGAGGGGCAGGGTCTTGGGTGGCCTGGTGTTGGGAGGCCACGGAGACTGGGGGCGGCCACAGAAGATGCGAAAGGAGGGGCTGATGCCATGGGATGAGCTAAGTGGCTCTGGGGACCGAGGCCTTAGGAGGCACATGGGAGAAGCAGGCAGGGACCTTGGTGCAGGAGGCCCCAGAGGCGGAGGTCCCAAGAGTCAAGGTCAAGTAGACTGCCCCGAACTGGGGGGAGGTCATGGGGGACATGCCAGGCCCTCACCTCGCCGGTTGTAGCAATCGGCAGCCGAGCAGGAGTGGGTGTGAGTGCTGCGGCGGTCGGCGTCCCGGTCCCAGCGTGGAGGGAGGATCCGTGTTGGATACACAGGGAAGCCGCACCCGTAGCAGGGGGATGAGGACCCCATCTGTGCCCAGCCCCTGGGGGGCGGGCAGGGCCGTGAGGGTCCAAAGGTAAGGCCTGGGCCAGGGTGGGGCCAGGGTGGGGCGGGGAGGGGCAGGGGTCAGCACCCTCACCGGAAGTTGTGCCGACACCTCGGGCAGTGGAACTCAGCCACACCCCACATCTTGTCACAGGGCACGGGCTCATAGCGCTTTCGGCATTTCCTGCACCGGGACACCTGGGTGTGTAGAGTGGGGAGCAGACTTGCTGTCAGAGGGGCGCCCCAGGAGCTCGAATACTGCCCGCAGTGGGAATAGGTACCCCCCGGAAATTGGCAAACACTACAAATCTGGGGTTCTCGCACTACCTCCCTGCACTAGCTGGGCTACTAAGCATTTACCAGAAGCACACCACTGATCAGGGGGTTCCAAATCCAGACCTGGGATTGTGGTTTTGGGGTCAGGTTTGATTTTTGGGGCAGCTGTCAAACTGTGGAGTCAGAGGTCGGGCTCTGGGGATAAGGGTGGAGCGGGAGGGTCAGATGGATGGGGTCCCAGATGGAGACTGAGCTCTGAGACTGCAGGTCAGGGGTTGGGCTCTTGGGGGTTGATATTCTCAGGTCAGAGGTGCGGATACTGAAGGGGGGGGGTCAGGTTATCACCTCCTTCCTCTGGGGTACGCGCCGCCACCAGACATGGTCACAGGAGGAACAGGCAAATTGCCGATCCACAGCGGGAATGAGGTCTTCCTGGGCGCGTTGGAACATGCGGAGGTTGGCTTCTGTCAGTGGCAGGAGGGAGGTCGCCACATCCTGCACAATGGGGACAAGAGGGTGGTCACACCTCCTCCACGAACATAAACACATGTCAGCCTCTTCCCTCTGCATACATGTCTCCTCTCCTCATCCATGGATGCCCTCCACTCTCCGCCATGGATGCCCTCCACTCTCCGCCATGGATGTCCTCCACTTTCCCCCATGGATGCCCTCCTCACTCCACCTGCCCCTATCCCATACCTTGGACTCACCTGGATGTCCTGGTCCTGCTTCATATCCTCTGGTGGGTCCTGGGTGGAGACATCAGGGGCAGAAACTGGGGATGCCGCTCAGACCTCTTTTTACCGTTATTTGTTGGGGCGGGGCTCCTGGACGAGGAGGCTGGGTCCTGGCCCCATATGAGTAGGGAGTCCCTAACTCAGGAGCAGCTTATGGAGGGCAAGGTGCATGACCTCAGTTATCCTCACAGTCGTCTTGAGTGGGGGTACACCTATTATCCCCACTGCTCAGATAAACAGGCTCTGAGCAGGGAGTGGGGTTGCCTGCGATCACCCTGAGTGAGCATGGCCGAACAGGCCTGGACCCCATGCTTCCCTTCCTGCTGGTAAATGCCACACACTTGGTGGCATTGTGACGGGTCGCCTCTTTGAGTCCATGCTGCTTTAGGCTAAGTGCTTGGGCTCTGGATTCAGATAGATGCAGGTTCCAATCCAAACCACTCCCCCTGCATCCCTAATGAGGGGTATCTCAGAGCGGCGCCACGGTTCAAATCCCAGCTGCCACCTGCTTTCTCTGTGAACCTGGCGAGTGACTTCTTCACTCTCATCTCAGTTCCCTTGTGTGTAAAACGGACATGATAAATAATAGGACCTATCTCAATGGATCAGTATGAGGATGAAATTCAAGGAAACCCTACTGCAAGGGGAGGGCTCACTTTCCTAATATTTTTTTCTTTAAGTAGGCTCCACACTTGATATGGGGCTTGAACTCATGACCCTGAGAAAGAGTCACATGCGCCCCCCCCAACTAAGCCAGCCAGGCGCCCCTCCCATTATATTTATCATACCCTTTACATGTGTAAACGTAAAGAATACAACACATACCTTATATTCTTTAACAACTACGGGGTGGGGGGTTGCTTTCAGGCAGGTGAAATCCATAGTGCGCTGGCCACCAAAGTCATTTAAGGGGTAAAGTAGCCATGTTGTACCTGTGCCTCAAAGCCTTTCATTCATTCATTCATCACATGAGCTCCCTGCCCCTCTCTCCTCCCCCATTTCCTGTTTATCCTAGCCTGTTTGCGTGTTCCTTTGCTCACTCTGTTCCCTCTTCCAGGAAGACCCTTCCCAACCCTCTCCTCCCCCCTCCCCCTTCCCTGGATTATTTCTCCTCAGCCTTAAAGAGCTGGCACCACCCCTTCCAGGAAGGCTTTCCTGACCTTCCGGGGTCCTCTATAAGGACACTAATCCTGATTGGTTTCACTGCCTAGTTTCATGTCTCTCTCTCCCACTTAATATTACCCACAAGTAACGACCAGTGCCTACAGTTTGCAGTCTCCCTGGTCGGACACATGACTGAAAGGTGAGTAAGTCAATGTGGATCATGATGGGGATTGGTGGTGCACAGAAGGGGCTCATCATGGATCTGCCAGGTCCCTTCTGTTCCCCCTCCCCAGCTACCCCATCCTTTGACGGGGGGGCGGGGGGGAGGCAGTTTACCTGGGCATCCAGGTCATTACTCAGTTCCTGTCCATCTTGCTGCTTTACCCCTGGTGGCAAGAGTAAGTGTAAGTACAAGGTCCTTGAAGGATCTTGTGGGAGTTTCAGGGTCCCCCAGAGCCCCTGTATAGACCCTCCTCAGGAGATGATCTCAGCGTCTCTTCCTACCCTTAACGCAGACCACACCTCCTCTGCGCCCTTCCCGCTCTCAACCTCTACCAGGGCCGGGACCCCAGCCGGCTCACCGTACACGATAGAGCGCCCCACTCCCGTGTGGTCGCTGCCAAATTTCCTCATCAGAGTCCCCGCCTTCTTGGAGGATACCTTCCCATGAAACTTCTCCCGGAGGCGCCGGACGCTTTTCTCCAGCTTGGGTGGGCAAAGGGGGGTTCCGATCGGGTAAGGAGGGGAGCGATTGCCCCTCCTCCATCTCCAGGCATCCTTCTCGCAGCCTGAACTTGACCCTTGGTTTTGGCCTCCCCCCCATCCCTCTACGGCATTTCCTGGAAAAAGCCAAAGTCCCCACAGGGCATTGGGGGAGGGAGCGGACAGGGGCGAGCGTCCCAGGCTGAGGGGAAGAGGCCGGCCAGGTAACCCCTGGCCTCTGACCCTTGACCCTGCAGCCCCCGCTTTTCCTCGAGGAGGCTGCATCTCAATCTGGGAGATGTGTTGGTCATTCTTCTTCGGGGGGGCGGGGGCGAGTGACAGCCAGGGGGAAGGTCTGGGCTTCGGATGGAGTCCCCAGAAACTGCGAAGCCCCCTCCGCGCCCCCGGCCCCTCCCCGGCGCCTCTCGCGAGCCCCCCGGCCCAGCCGTAGCCATCTCCTACCTCCACACCTTCTTGAGACATGGTGGCGGCGGCGCAGGTTCCCGCGAGGGTCCGCACTGCGCGCTCGGAGCCCCCTTACCTGGGCGCGCCCGCGGTCCAGCAGCCGCGCAGGGCAGGGGGCGGGGCCTCCGGGCGGCCCCGCCCTTCCTTCCCGGCCCCCTCTTTCGCTTTCGATTGCCGGGGGTGACGGGTGGACGGGGCGCTCTGGCTCCGCCCGGGCTCCGCCTCTGCTCTGGCGCCCCAGACCCGGGCGGGCGCCAGGGGTCTGCACCCTGCGGCGGAGCGCGCGGACCTCGGGCGGTGGAGGCGGCGCGGCCTCTGCAGTCGGTCACATGTCCCCACGCTGCGCGGGGTCCGCGTCTTCACGTCCCTCGTGGGGGCGGGGCCGCATCGGAAGGCCGCTGCGAATCTCCGTGTCCCTCTCAGCTCGCGCTCCCCTACTTCATCGCTCTCCCTCCTCCCCTCCCTCGGGAATCGGGCACAAATTAGGACCTGGGCCCCCTGCTCGCTCTGAGTCTCTTACGCGACTGTGTCGCCTTTCCCAACCTCAGTTTACTCCTCTGTAAAATGGGGATGATACAGTGGCAACATCTTGGTTATGTGTGTCTGCCAGGATTCGAGACCTGGGGTAGAGCGCGTACTACCACCGGGCATGGGGTAGGCTAACTAGTCACTGGGCCAACCTACTGCGTGCCACAGCCAAAGGAGCAGGTAGTTGGGCGAAGGGGAAGATGCTCGTTAAAAAATGGAAGTTACTGGTCCCTAGCAGTCGGGCAGCAGCCTGTAGTCTAGGGGTTCCTGGGAATCTGCACTGTAAATCGGAAGGTTGAGAATCCTCTTGGCTAGCACAATTTTTTATATTTTTTCTAAAGTAGGCTCCACACCCAAGGTGGGGCTTGAACTCGTGACCCTGAGATCCAGAGTCACATGCTCCGCCCACTGAGCCAGCCCTGGGCCCCTATTACATAAAGATATTCTTTAACAAACACACCAAAAAATGGAGATTAAAAAATACAGGTGTTCTAATGTTTTCTATTTGACCTCCAGAACTTTGTCTGTGGGTCAGTGCACCTCCTCTGGAGCCTATTAGTGAATATAAACAGTTCACAGTTCTTCGTGACTTAATGTGGAATTTCAAGCAGGGAGGGGTGCGGGTAGGCGGCATAGAGTACCTGGGATTTTATCCTGAAGGAAGTGGGGAGGTGTGGAGGGGCTCTCTTGTTATACATATATACAGTATATATAATATATGGTATATAATTACTACTTACCCAGTGGAGAGGGAGGTTGCCGCCATGGTGGGTGGCAAGCAGGCAGGAAACAGGTGGGAGACCCATCCACCTCCAACATGAACAAGATCTTCTAGATTCTTTTTTTTTTTTTGAGAGAGAGAGAGAGGTAGGGGGCGGGGGTGGTGGTGACGAGCAGAGGGAGAGGGAGAGAGAATCTTAAGCAAGTTCCCTGCCCAGCATGAGCCCGACGCAGGGCTCGATTTCACAATCCCGAGATCATGTCCTGAGAGGAAACCAAGAGTTGGGACGCTTAACTGACTGAGCCACCCAGGCGCCCCCAGATCTTCTAGATTCTCATAATAATGGCCATCATATCGAGCTCTTACTCTGCACCAGGCACTGTTCCAGGCACGGAGCATCAAACTGTCTTGTATAGTTTTTGTGCATCAGGAATTTAGAAATGGTTTTGCTGGACTTTCTGGCCCGGGGTTTCTCATAAATATTGTAGTCAAGATGTTGGCCAGGTCTGCAGTCTCCTGAATGTTTGATGGGGGCTGGAGGGTCCATTCGACATGGCTGGCTGGCAGGTGCTGGTTGTTGGTGGGATGGCCCAATTCTTCCCTCCCTGGGCTGCTTGAGTATACCCCCAACTTGGCAGCTGGCCTCCCCAGGGCAGGGGATCCAACAAGAGAAGAAAAGCCAGGTGGGAGTTGCATCTTCTACGACCTAGCATCACACAGCATCACTTCTACTGCCACCTTTTGTATGTTAAAATCGAGTCACTAGATCCGGCTAGTGTTCTGGAGAAGGGAAGCAAGACCCCTCCTTCTGCTGCCTGCCATCCTCCCATCTCCTGCTGGAGCCTCGCATTGGCTGCACCAGAAGGCAGGGAGAGCAAGGGAGCCAGCCATGCTGTTAGCCTCTCAGGGCAGTTGATTCGGAAGGACAAACAGAAGATATAACCAGAGTATTGAATTTTGGCAATTGTGGATGGACAGAGAAACAAACATTTCCAGCGATCACGTGGGGGTGCTGCCTACCCACCAGCAGTTTTCTGAGCTTTGTGGCCATCTTGGCTTGTTTGTGCGGTGGTAGGAGCATTACTGCATTTTATCTTCTGTCTTTATAGAAAGGTGTGGATAGGGAGGAAATGGATGTGCTGATAACAGTGATAAGAAGTAGCCCCTGGGGGCGCCTGGGTGGCTCAGTTGGTTAAGCGACTGCCTTTGGCTCAGGTCATGATCCTGGAGTCCCGGAATCGAGTCCCGCATCGGGCTCCCTGCTCAGCTGCTTCTCCCTCTGACCCTCTTCCCTCTCGTGCTCTCTATCTCTCATTCTCTGTCTCTCAAATAAATAAATAAAATCTTAAAAAAAAAAAAAAAAGAAGTAGCCCCTGGGCTTCAGGGTGGTTCAGTCAGTTAAGCCTCCCACTCTTGACTTCAGCTCAGTTCCTGATCTCCGGGTGCTGAGATAAAGCCCCAAGGCAGGCTCTGCGCCCAGCGGGAAGTCTGCTTGATATTCTCTCTCTCCTTCTCCCTCTGCCCCTCCCCTCAGTCTCTCTCTCAAATAAATAAATACATCTTTTTTTTTTTAAAGATTTATTTATTTATTTATTCATGAAAGACAGAGAGATAGAGAAAGAGAGAGAGGCAGAGGGAGAAGCAGGCTCTCAAGGAGCAGGGAGCCCGATGCGGGACTCGATCCCAGGACCCTGGGATCATGACCTGAGCCGAAGGCAGACGCTTAACCATCTGAGCCACCCAGGCGCCCCAATAAATACATCTTAAAAAGAAAAAAGAAGTGTAGCCTCTGACATGTTGGTATAATTGAGTCAAAGACAGCCCTAACTGATCCACCCATTTGATCTAGTTTTGGAATGTTGATGAGGTTTGGTGGGGTGAGGTCTGGAGCCAATGGCCAAGAAAGAATTCTTGAGACATCTTTGGTGCAAAATGTGGTTTTATTAAACATAGGAACGGGACCTGTGGGCAGAAAGAGCGGCATTGGAAGGTGAGGAGCAAATGATTGATACACTGTGGGGATGAGGGCGGTAAGGACAAAGGGAGGTGTCCAGAAGGACTTTCATATGCTAAAGAAGATCCTCAGGATCCCGGAGGCCATGTTATTATCAAGCTAAGTCTGTTTTTTCCTCTAGCAAAGCATTAACATTAAGATAAATTGGAAGTTTCCTGGAAGAATGTAATACATATTCCACCAAGAGGGGGGAGGTTCTGGGGTTGTCAGCTTGTGCTTTGTCCTCACTAGCCTTCCGCTCCCTCATCACATCATTAATTTGATAGACATGCATCAAGTGCCTCCCCTGGTGGCAAGCATGGTGCTGGGCACCATTTCTGCCCTTCCAGAGCTCATGGTCTTAATGGTAAAGAGAAACACAAAGCAGATGATATCACAAGTAATTATTATATTGGAAGGTAGGTAAGAACATTAGGATTCGAAGCCAAGGGCCAAGAAAGAATTCTTGAGACGTCTTTGGTGCAGAAAGGTGGTTTTATTGAAGCACGGGGACAGGACCCTTGGGCAGAAAGAGCGGCACTGGGGTCATGAGGAGTGGCCCATTGCATACTTTCAAGTTGGGAGGGGGTTAGGGATAGAGCATAAGTGTCCAAAGCAATTTTGGAAGCAAGGTTTCCAGAACCCTGAGGGGGCTAGCTCTCGTTGGGAAAAGGTCATTTATTACCGTCTAATAAAACCCTAGTCATGAGACCCTTCAGATGTATATCAGTGGGCCATATGCTTGGGGGATGACTGCCAACATGTATCTTGGGGGGTTTAGAGATAAACAAAGCTTCCAAAAGAATTTTTATATTTTAAAGGAGGCTTACAGGATGGGGGTGGGGTGGATCGGGCTAGGATTGCCTTTTGCCCTTAGGAAAGTGTCAACATCGAAGCAGGTGAGTGCCTAGAGGAATGTCACTTTGCCTGTTTCAAGGACTTGTTAATGGGTTGTAGGTAGTAAGGAAATTTAATTATTTTTCTTCTGCCTTTGTTTCCCACATTGTATTTATGATATATACCAAAAAAGAGTCATTGAGGGGTCCATGACCTGACCTGGGCAGGTTGGTCAGGGAGGACTTCCTGGAGGAGGTGCCCCTTGAGCTGAAATCCTAACACTGTGAAACACTGCGCCAAGTGTTTGAAACTATGTATTTCATATGATCTTCATAGCGCCTCCACGAAGGGGATGAGATTATTACAAATGGGAGAACAGGTTCAGGAACTTACTCTAGGTCTCTTTGAAGGGTAATGGTTTCCTAGTTGAAGAAGCACAGACTGTGCACATGAGGTGGGAAGCAGTTTGGTCCATTATAGGAAGCTAAAGGCCACTGGGGTTGGGGGCAAGTGGAGGGAAGGGAAGCTCATGTCAAAAGAAACAAATCTTTCAGCTGGATCCTCTGAGGCTTAAGCTGGGTGACCAGTTTAATTATGGAGGCAATGGACACAATTGGAGCATGTGTGTGCTTTTCATAATCTAGTCCCCAATTTCCCCTCAATTTAACCAAATGAAGAAACTTGGGAATGCCCAGAGTTGGAGGCAATGGGGAAACAGGAAATCTCCAAACTGTTAGCAAGGGCATCTCTTGGTAGAACCTTTGGGGAGGGCAACTTGGCAAAACCTACTAAGGCAATATGCATGCTGTTTTAACCATTTCTTTCATGTTCTGTATTCTGATGCTTTGACATCTTGGCGGGACGGCCCCTCCCTGGGCACACACACCAACCATTTGTGTGTTTCTGCATGCAATCTCCACACTACCTTTACTTTCCGCATTGCATATTTCTCTAACAATTGAATTTTTTGTTGCAACAAGCACCCATCACTTTTGTAAGCAGGACCAAACAATACACAATAAGA